TATTATTATTATTATTAATACTCCTTTGACATCCAGGATAAGCAAACCCTGAATATTAATTTGTTCCAGCAGATAACTGTAAAACTGTTTCATCGGTTTTACCTCCAAGCAGTCTTTCTTCTTGTGTGTCATGGCACCACAGTTTTCACAAGCCCCTTTACGGAACTTAGTTACAACTGCACTCTGTGTGGAGACACAAAGTGAAGCTTTTAGATTTTGTGGCAATATATCTACTTCTGTGTCCACATGAGAGAAAAACTCGCCTCATTCTCACCTCCTGCACTCCTCTCTTGTACCACTCTCCGATTGCGGAGTACTGCTTCTCATTCTCACTCTGTGGTCTTTGATGCTTTAGTGTGGGCCTTTTTGATGGGTCGATGTACCACGGCACTGATGAAATGTACTGTGGGATGTGGGGGTTTATGTCCCTGTAGGACAGATGCGTTCACGTTATATATCACACCATTCCTTCCATCAGCTGCCTGAAAGCACACACTTTCTGCACAGGCACAAACTTACTTTCCCTCCTCGTCCACCTCAGCTGGAGCGTTTCCCAGCTTTCTCTGCTCCTCCAGCTCCTTCTTCTTCCTCCAGTCCTCTCTGGTCATCTTCTTGGGCTCATCCAGACCCACGATCCCCTCCGAGTTAACGTTGGTCTGCTCGGTCATGACTGAACCTGCCGCCGGGGACACCGTCACGGGTTTAGTATAAACACCCGTCCTACTCACCTACACTCAGCAATTATGTGTTTCACTTCTTAAAACAAAGGCTAAAACTACAGTTTTTATTGCAGTATTGGCCAAACTAGCTGTTTAACTGCCGAATGACGTACATGTAGAAGAGGCATTTTACTTAATTTCTGTGAAAATTCATAAACCAATTCACTCACTTACCTTGATAAGGCTCCACAAATAAACTTGATGTTTATATTCCTTCCGTAAAATCAGCAACCTTCCCTGTATTTGACCCCTTTTTTAAAACTCGTCGGTTCTGTTTTGACTAAAATGCGATCGTCGCCATTTTACATCAGCTAAAGTTACGTCACGTCCTTTCTGTGGAGTGTCTGCCGGAAACAGCGACGTCTAGAGGACAGTCAGAGTACAGCACCTCAACCGCAAGAAAACAGGTGGTCTTTACTTTCTTTTACTTGGGAAATTTCATATCAGTAGTCGAAGCAAGTTAGTTTCTAACTCTTTATTTGAATGTGTTTTGATCTGATATCTCAAGTCTAAAAAAAGCATAGCTTAAACTGTATTGTTAAAATTCACTCAGAAGTGTTTCTCTGAAGAACTGTGTCAGTTTTATGCAACATTTAGTCGCTAATGTGGCTTTAATTTACGATTTCTCTTAGTGAAATGAACTTGTGTGTCTGTACATAGTTACTGACCACGTTTTAGGTACTCATTATTACAAATCTCTAATCAGCTAGCCACACGGCAGCACCTGAATGTATTTAAGCATGTAGAAATATTAAATCTGGCTGGCAATAAAAATAGTAATCGTGTCCATTCTTGTATGACACCATGTACCCATCTTCTGATGACTGCTTAATGGTGTCACGTCACAAAGCTCAAATCCTCACAAACTGATTTCTTCAGCATGATGACTTAAGACAGCTGTGAAAGCATAAAGGTGGTCCAACAATGTGTATGTGTATAAAAGATGCTTCAGAAAAGGTTCTTCTTGTTACACGTGGACAGATCCTTGGATACTGAGATCCAGTAAGTACAAGGATTTTATTCTAATTTAGTCAGTGCAACAGCAGCAGCGGTTATAAAACCAACACTGGCAACATCTGTAATTCATGTTTAGGTTGTGAGAAGATGACGCTTTTGTCTTTTATTTCTCTGTGCCAAAGATCCTGAGCTGTGAGCTACTTGTTGTCAAACAAAAGAAACTGGGGTAGTTTTTGTTGTGAGAAGATCATTTATAGCAAGAAGACTCCAGTGGGTTCATTTCTGCATTCGTCACAAGCACCAGGCAGGTACTCCCTCTGCCTAACTGTAACACGGACATGTGAGAACAATGTTTTGAGGACTCCTCTGATTGGAAAGACAAAGTTAAGACAGTGACAACAACATAAGATGCCCTTAAGATGACAGTTTGGTCAGGTGAAGCTTCCCACCTTTTTTCTTATATTCCAAACAGTTTTTTTTTTTCTTAAAAAAAAAAAAAAAAAAGGCCAAATAATGTAAACATTGTTAAGAGAAACAACAAGAGAACAAAACAGCACCAGACACATACATATCAACAGAAGTAGAAAGGGGCTGAGTGAAGCAGCCGTCGAAGCCTTAGCACCAGTACTCATCCCTGCTGTCAGTCCAGCGGTGTGCAGATGAGAAGGCAATGTTGTACCAAAGTGAAGGCAGTGTTGCATTCAAGTAGGTACCAAAATATGAAACTCTTTCAGGCCTTTCAATGTCTACTGAGTTTTGCTGCTGAGATATAAGGAAGGACAGGATGAACAGTCACTTGTCATCATCCTCCACTCTCCCCCAGTCCTCCGAGTCCTCGCCCTCCACCTCTCCGTCGTCTTCCTCCACATAATCACCCCAAGTGTCATACTCGTCCCCGCCCTCGTCCTCCTCATCATCATCCTCTGGCAGATTTCCTCCATACAGTGGCTCATCCTCCTCGTCCTCTACTATCTCCATCTCCTCCATATCATTCTCTTCCTCATCGCCCTCTTCTTCATCTTCGTCTTCTTCATCGTCGTCTTCCACACCGTCCACGTCCAACCCGCACACCTCCCCATCCTCCACCTCCCCGTCCTCCCTCTCTGCCTCGGAGGAGGCAGGAGTGGAGAGAGCTTTCTCGTCAGTTCTGCCCGTGAGGTAGGACCTGCCGGAGGGGACGAAGCTTGAGGTAGCAGTCTTGGTGTTGATGTAGAGACGAGGAGGAGGCGCTTGCCTCGATGAAGTCGCTTGGCTGGCCGGGGCAGAGACGGGAGCGGAAGGAGCCACTCGTCTGGTGACCGGGACAAAAGAAGGGGCGACGGGCGCATCAACAGCCCCAGGCCTCATGGAGGTCGTGTTGGGCATGTATTCGCGTATCTCCCCTGGCTCTAGCGGGTCGGGCCCACAAGGGTCGTGCTCGCTGCAGGACAATTTTCCGTCCAGCTTGGAGATGAAGAGCATGCCTTCTCTGTGCTCCTTACAGTACGAGTTGGGGCACATCTCGCAGAATGAAGCCGCCTCTTTGCCACATACGTCACACTGGTGCCATGGACACTCCCATCGGCCTGCAGGCAAATCAAATGTGGAATGAATACAATAAACATGCGCAAATAGTACGATTTTTGACTCACAAATAGCTAACAAAAACATAATAATTAACATTTCTCTTCAAGTTCACGTTCATCAAAACTACATTTTATTTTTGCCTTTTTTTGGAGAACCTTCCCCTCAGAAACCACCCAGTCACCTCTGTTTGCTCCACGCATACTTGAGGATATTCAAACCCCCTGAGAGCTTGATGTAAAAAACGATTGGCTACACACGGCTATCATATTGTGTGCTCTCCTTAAAGTCTACTTGCCTGCAGGCCTCTTGGCCAGGTTGAGGCAGTCAGCATGATAGACCTTTGGGCAGCCCGGCTTCTTACAGGAAACTATCTGACCCCCGTCACCACAGCTGAAGCACTCATCTTCCCTCTCCTTGGTCACCTCTTGCTTGGTCTTCTTCTTCATAGTGCCCTTCCGTTTTCCTTCCTTAGGTTTCATTTTCTCAGCTGCTGGCTGGTTCTATACGAGGACGAGGAACAGGAAGGTCACAAGGCAGCTCTTCTTGTAAGTGCGGTCAGAGGATCATTTAACTGAAGGTAAAGTTGTGAATAAATATAAAGTTTTACCTTTGGCCGGACACCCAGGAAACCGCTACAGTTGGGTGCTCCACATTTACAGGCGGTCTTCCCATTGCCACGACACTCCAGGTTGTAGTTGAAAGTCAGCTCCTCACCTGAAGTAGTTGTTGCATTAGATCGGATGTTTAATTAAAATAATCTGGATGATCTTGTTCAATACAACCCTCCCCCCCTAAAATTAAAAAAAAAATAACCCCAAAACAAATCAAAACAAAAAACAAACTATCAAACCTTTTGGGATGTCTTGTAAAGCAAACAGCCCCACTCTGGTGTCCCCATTCACAGTCCACTTCTGAGTCTCACAGTTTGGCTGGCAGCTGTGGTTCATGAAGCGAGCCTGGTTGCCTTTGGGCCCCGCGTCAATGATGCGATCCTGGAGTGAAAAAAAGCACAAATCAGCGCGGACCCGTCATCCGATCTGCACTGTTAATCAAGCGTGCCGCGTTCAGGCTGCATCTGTTGGTATTTGACTCAGATACTTACTTTGTCCAGTGTAAGCATGTAGAAGTTGCAGATGTCGTTCTCCTGAGCGTGCCTGATCCTGGCGCGGCATTCTTCTTCATCTATCACCTCGCCCACGTATTCACTGATAAAAGCTCCCTGGGAGAGACAAAAAGAGACGGAGAAACCGAGGAATGAGTAAAATGTGGTTGTAACTAAAGCGATCGATGCTGGCTTGATTCACTTCCGACCCACCTTCCTGATGTCCGACAAGCCGCGCATACCCCAGCCGCAGGACAGAGTCCTGAAAATCTCCACAGGTGTGTACTGGCGCTTTGTGAAAGATTGATTTTGGCATCGGTCCCCTGCCGCGCACACCTGAGGGTGACACTCGTACATCAGCATACGGTTAATGCACTCAGAGTCGATGCCGCACGGGTTCTCGTCAAGCGCCTTGCAGTTACATCGTGGAACCTCCGAGAGGTCAGCGGTGATAATCTGCACCTTCCCGATCGGCCGGTTTACCTAAGAAACAGACACAGGGGTGAGATTTTAACAGCACGTCTCAGTTAACTGCTCTGCCATTGGCTAGATAAGCACAGATGTACACACGGTACCCTAATGTGTCTGTATGGAGGAGGCTTCTTGTCATTCTTTCTGTCCTCCTGAAGCTGCTTCAGCTCCTTTTCTGCCTGAAGCTCTTTGAAACGCTCGGCCGCTTCATTCAGTGCTACAAAGAGACACACGATCTTTACTATTAAACATGCACCTTACACCAAGAATCAAGATGCACTCAGCAACCTTAAGCACGCACCCTTTTTGTACACTGCATCTGCACCCTTGCCCATTTTTTCAATATTGTGAGTATCGCCCTCCATGTAGGGGAACACTCTGGCCTGGTATGTCCACACGAAATCTTTGGAGCCAAAGAACTGCACCGGGAACTCTCCCACCTCGTGTTTCATCCTTAAGATGTTATTTGGGACCTCTTTGGTCAGGCAGACTTCAGCAGGCCACCACCTGAAGAGACACAGCGGGTTTCAGAAATACAAATATGGCTCCAGTAGTTGTTAGCCAGAGCCTCTGTGTGATTGCCAGTGTTGTTAACCTACCTGTAACGCCCCCACTTGACCCACAGGATGTCCTTAATACGGGGCTTCTTTCCAGCTTTGCAGTCGTTGCAGAACCAGCTACCCTGTGGCATCTCCATATTCAAGCATTCCCGATGGAAAGCAGCAGGACAGGCTTCACAGCACAGCAGACTGCCCCCTAGAAACGCAACCCATGAGTGATTAGGGAGCTTTTTTATAACGCGTCATAATATGGCCTGCAACAGTCCATAGTTATGCTTTGAACAGTGATTACAAGGTCACACGGGCCTGCAAACTTTCTTCTAAGTTGGTAAGGGAGAACAGTCCATATCACATGTAAGCATTTGTGAGGTAAAGCAAGCAAATAAACACCAAGCTGAATATTTATCATCAGCAGTAAGCTAATTCAGTAACTGACTTATTATAGTGCCACTACAAGTGACACTAATCAGTACAAATGTAGATACTCAGGACTAAATGAGGTGAGTCGGTGTATTTAAATGAGATCAGCGGCACTAATTTAAATCAGTGTCAGAAATAAGAGCATTAAACATTAACATGTGACATCAGCAGTCAAACTGTGTGTTTTTATAGCTGCTGGGTTTCAGAGGCAGATTTGTGAGTAGAGACAAGAAACAGAAGTACATTTATAGATCCATTTGCCAAGTGGGAGCATTTAAGTGGAAAATGGGACGGAGCATAAAAATAATTTGGAGCGCATTATGTTGAATTGAATAATAAAGCCCGGTGCTGAACAGCTGCCTTCCTTTGTGTGTGTGTGTTTTATTTAACATTTGAACAGTGGAGACGGTCTGTTAAAAGCTCATGTTTTAATCCTGAACCCACTGTTACATATGCACACGCTACAAGACTGCGCTCACCTTCAGAGCAGACAAAGCACCAGCTAACATTGATGTGCTCGTGGTTCTTGCAGCCTTTGCGAGGAGTGAAGTGGTTCGGACAGAGGAAGCTGTTGTTCGCCAGCACCAAGCTGCCCGCTGCCATGCAGTTGTCGTTGCCGTGATAGGCGACGGGACAGCGAACGCATCGAGCCAACCGACCTGAGAGGAAGTGAGAGGAAGCACGGCTTAATTCAGGCAAACAAAACAACACATACCATTTACGGAGCAATTTTAAAACACTTTCACTCCAAATGTTGTCCCTGGATTTTGAACATAAGACTCAGTCTTACAGGATTATTAAGAGAGATCGTAGTACAAAGCACATGGAAGGAGTCACGTCAGTCCACTGAATTAAAACTCTGCATTACATGCCAAAATCCTGCACAGTCAGTATTTTATGAAGCCACTTTAAACTGCTAAAAATCAAGGATTATGATGTACACTTGGTACTGTAGGTGAGGCTGTAAGTGTCAAAAATCTCAGGCTAAATGCCTAATTTCACATGACACACGAGCAATGAATCACATACTCGAGTGTCAGCCTGTGCTTATGCAAAGACACCGAGTCATTCATAAGAAAAAGCTTAATCACAGAACCAAATCCTGATATCTCCAGGCATGAAGTGCAAAGCCCTTAAATAATCCAGAGTTCAAAAGAGGCCATCAATATTCAAACTAACAAGAGACACGCAAACAAAGACTGTGTCCAGAATCACGTAACCTGTTGCTCTTATTTAAGAAACAAGAATCCTTCCTGTGGTTGGCTAGCCTCAAGATTATAGCAGCAAGGTGAAACTGTAGGGCCTCTAAAACCCTGCAGTTACAGCAGAGTTTGAGTTTGGAAAGGGTTCAGTTTGTAAGAGATTTAACACTACGTGCTTAGATCATGTTTAAAAGGGCAGAATCTTTATTTATTTATTTATTTTAGATGTTTTATAGTCTAATCTGCCCTTTTTTTTTGTTTGAGTGTATCACGTGGTTTGTATGCTGAGATAAACCCTCTGCATTTCCATTCATGCAGCCACCTTTTTATAGACCTTTACAATGATGCGCCTGCCTCGTCGAGTGTGCTCTTGACTCGGCTAGATGTTCTGAAAAGATGGTTTTTAACCAAGGGAAGAATTGTGCAATCATCCACTTCAGTCGTTCTCTTTAGTCCTCATGGTCCTTTTTTCCTTGGTTGGGCAGTGCTCATAAGTGCATTCCTTCTTTTTAAGAATAAACCAAGGTGTTGTTGATGCGCTCACTGCTAAAGTTTCTGCTATTTCTGCTATGAATCCAAGACTTCCTTTACTTGCATCAACACCTCTTTGGACTGGATGCAAAATTTTAATAATAAACCACGGTGAAAATGAAGAAATAACTATCAGCCAGCTGGAGATCTACTTTTAAACACATTTTCGTGGGCTGTTTAAAAGCCACTTTAAGCTGCTCCCCTATTCACAAGGGGCTGGCCACAGCGGGTAGCTCCATGTTTGATTTGGCAAATTTGAACATCTGATGCTCTTCCTGACGCAACCACAAAATGGATTTTTGTCTCCTCCCAGGAAACAAATGACTGCAGTTACTAACCAGACTGATTCTAGTTGTTAAACCTTCCTAATTAAAGGTAAAACACTACACTTTAAATATATATTTACTGCTCTATTTTTAATTCGCTGTCCTGTTAAAAAACCTCACATGTCACCTAGTTGAAGTCTTGCAAAAGATGACCCTGGTTTCAGCAAAATCTTAAAACATACTAACATAGAAGCATCTTGTGGCCTAACTTGGATGAGGAGAAAGTAGATGGCTGGTTGGATCAAAGCCAGCAGTGGCGCTCACCTTTAGAGCTGCAGATGTTGAGGGGATTGGTAATGTGGCAGGACAGGCACACATGCAGGGGGCAGCGGAAGCCTTTGTTGTGAGGCTGGGTGGCCGAGTAGGCCATTATACAGTCCGTGTGGTAGAATTTCCCACAAAGCGGGATTATGCAGCGCTTCACCCCATCTCCGGACTTCTTGCACACGAAGCACGCGTGAACGCCTGAGAGGATCATTAACAACCAGGAGAATTAAACTCAGGTATGCCGTAACGTGCATTTTTTGTGCTTTCAGGCGTACCCACCAGCGTTGCATTCGCGACAGAGGAATTTTCCCTTCGGAGGCGCCGACAGGCCAATGCACTGTAGATGAAAAGCTCCGTAACAGTGGCCTTCACACACCAGCAGGTCTCCCGTCCTCTCGCACACCTGCTCAAACACACGGAGGAAGAGACCCGACTAATGATTTACTGCTCCCAAATACAGAGAATGCGCCACAAACCAAGCAGAAAATCTACACTTTCTGATAGACTCCCTCTCACCTGACAGACACTCTCCTTCAAGGATGCAGCTCCTATTTTGCCTTTTACATCCACCTGTGAGGACAGACTGTCATTCCAGCCGGCCGGCAGCACCTACGGAGGTAGTTGTTGGTCAAGTGCTGCTCGTAAATGAAATACCACAGGTGGACGACCAATAACTCAGCAGCTTATCAGCACGACATACACACCTCGGCTTTGGGAGTTAGTGTTCCAGTGTTTTGTTTCTCCTCGGTGCTGCAGGCCTCCACCTCAGCCTCCTGATTAGGGGTCTTGGATCCTTTGGGGCTTGGAGATCTGCTCTCTGGGGGCTTGGAGGCAGCAGAAGCAGCAGCAGGAGAAGAGGATGTGCTGAACATGGGCTTGTTGTTCTTCACAAATCCCAACTATCCAATATGACGAGATTTTTTTTTTATGATTAATTCTAGTATAATATTGTTTGGTGTTATACGAGAATCAGAGAAACCACATCACGAGGTTTTAGTACCTGTCTTTTCTTCACCAACACCTTCGCCTCTGACGTAATTGCACTGTGACGTTTTTGCTCCTGTAGAACAAAAAAATACTTTCAGTGCTACTACAGAGCGCTCACAGAAAAAGCTTTTGTCCCTATCACAAACGCTCCTAGCTACCTAATGTCATCTCAGTTACCTTCTTCTTTGCAGGAGCAGCAGGCACCTCTTCTATGTTACAGTCCAGCACCTTGTGCGACAGCTTTCTCGGCCTCTTTCTTTCTTGGATTAACAATTCCGTCTCTGGAGTAAAACGATTCAGCATTGCATATTATAAAATAGCATCTAAGAGTCAGGAAAAATAGTTGATGTTGTAAATACACCGGTTACGCTGTTAGCTTATTTACCTGGTTCAGGAGGTAGATCAGTTTCCTCTGGGGTGTCCGGGTCAAAGGGGGGCTGTGTCGTGACTGAAGCTACCGAAGGTGCTGCAGGAGAAAGCTCGTCCTGAGACGGACTCTTTTCCAACTCTGCCGGAGCCTCGGCGGGCTCGTCTGATGGAGAGGCTGGGGTAACGGTCTCTGACGTGATGCTGAGGTCGTGGAGTGCTGCAATCCCTGAAGTCTGCTGAATGTACACATTGACAACAAAGCACTGCTGAAATCCATCACATACGAGGTTTTAAACTAAACACGGGGCAATCGTTTCCGTGCACTGTGGCGGCAACGTGTTCCAGCAACATGTAGCAGCCATAGCTGTTGTTTATCAAATTTGTTTCTACAATTATATCTTTTTATCACTCAACCCAAAAAACCTTAAATGTCAAAACAATAGGCCGATGTATCAAGGCATAATCAGAATGATGTTATTGCCTGATTTGAAAGCAATTCACTTTATTTACTTTATTTAATTCTGGCAAAGTACAAAGAGATAGCTTTATGTCTACTGAGTGGGTAATTCTAGATGGGTCAACCGGATAAACAGAAACATCTGTCTGTTTGAAATGGGTGTGAATATACAGAAAAGCAAAAAGGCTACAGCCATAGCTTATATTGTATTGTATGTGCACAATATATACAGGATGCACATTTCTTAAACATGCCTTTAAGGACAATATATGCTGTAAGCTAGAGGTTCTAAAACTTTCTAAACTTAGGGACCCCTTCCAGGGAACAAAAGTTTCCAAGGACCTCATAATCCTCACACCAATCCAGCTGGTTGGAGCTTAGCGTCAGACGAGTATGTGAACGGGCTTAAATATTAACAGCTGGGAGTGATTTCATGACAGATTGTTTTCTATTGTCCCAGTGATAACGCGGGAGGGAGTTGTGGACACAATCTGCTTGTTTTATTGGTGTAAATTGTTCCCATCTCTAAAGATTCACTTTTAAATGATACCGCACAAAATTCATGCTTTAAAGCAAAGCATGTTGCAGGCCCCTGTGGATATAGTGCGTGGAGCCTTAGGGTGTCAACAAACTCGACACTAAAGACTGTACAGTTAGCACTTGCGTTGTATTTATAGCTTGAAAGAGGTTGCTTACTTCCATTTTTATTAAAAGGAAAACGAATCATACATTTCTTACCATTTGGGAAGATTCTGACAAGTGCTTCTTTGATCTCTTTTTTGGGGCAAATATTTGTTCGTACTCCTCGGTCGACTCCAACAGACGTTTGGTGGGTTTCCGGAGGCGTTTGTTCTCTAAATAAAAATAGGAGAATAATCAATTATGTATCATTTACTTACTGATTTTACCAGCTCTGGAGATGAAGCTCAAAAGGAGCGCTTTGTCTTACCGGCTGAGCTGCTTCCGTCGGACAAATGCGAGTCACTCTCCGTGCACTTCTCAGCCCCCGGTTCAAGATCCGGTGATGCCATCATCTCATCAGACGCCTCACTCAGGAGTTCGCCCTTCCTCTCGGCAGCCTCCTCAACCACCTGCCAGCGCTTCTTTGGAGCCAACATGGCTTCTGAGTTGCTATCGAGGTAGCTGGTGGAAGGATCGGCAGCGACAACAGGAACCGATCCCGAATCGGCCAAATCGGCATGGCCGCTAACAAACTCCCTGCCGTAAGCCATGTCGGCCAGGTCGGAGGAAAGGCCAGATATGCTAAGTTTAAGTTTGGCGGGTAATCTTTGTTTCCTACGTTGCTTTTCTGAGCTTCCAGGCAGAGTACGAACAGGAGAGTCTTCACAGTGGTTGGTGTCAGTTCCAGTGATGCCTTTAGTCCTAATCTTTGTCCTTTCCTCTGTCCTGTGGGGTATTGTGGATTTGCGTGACTGGCCATTTTCAAGTTTGACCCCATGAGTTAATCCCTCACAAGAACCATTGGGAGTGTCAACATCTGTGGAAGCAGGGATCACTAGGGGTTCCTCTTTGATTAGAGTAGGTGATGGAGGGATTGTCAGCGGTTTGCCTTCTTTTTCCCTGGTATCATGCAGGTCTTTCAGAAGCATCAGAAAAGTACTGAATTTATAATTGGAATCAGTACGAAATGCAGCAGTTTCAGAGTCACTGCTGTCCTCCTTTGCAAGAGATTTAAACTTTATTTCCTGGATATCTGGAAAGGAATCCATCGGTGACCGGGACAAGGACTGAGAAGTGGTTGTGATATCCCTGACAGTGCTTTCTGTCTTGATCTTAACAGGTTGCAAAGTGGACTCAGTCGTGGCCACACACTTGGACTTAATCCATGAGCCATTACGAATTAGCTTCTTATCAAGCTTCCTTGCACGCCTTTTTGGAGAGCTGTGGTTTACAGACAGTGATACACTGCAGGAGGATTCCCGAGTAGGAGACATTTCAGTGTTCATGGAAGCATTAGTAGGTGTATTAGCAGGAGACTCATCAGCAGAGGCTTCTGCTGAGAAGCGGCTCGTGGCCACTGCATCTTTGAAATCGGTGTCTTCCTCCACCTGCAGAGCCCTCGTCATCAGGCCACTGCTGGCAGGAAGATCCACCGAGGTCTTTTCACTTTCAACACAGCTGTCCAACCTCTGGCCAGAATTTGTGTTTTTTGATGTCCTTTTGTTTTTTAAGCTGCTAAATGAGCCTGCACCCCGGCTCACTTTTTCTGTACTCTTTTTAGCCTTTGTTGAACTTTTTTCTCTTTGGACCTCTATACTGTGCACTGGAGACAGCGCTGTGCGTTTCGGTCGATGCAGCATCGGAACTGAATCCAGGTCAGCATAAGGCGAGTCCTTCGGCTCTTCTTTCAGTGCACGCGGTGCTGTGTGAAGCTGGCCTGTGGAGGATTCCTTTGATCCACTGACTATATGACCAAATATGTCTGACAGACACTTCTTTTTCTTCTTCTGAGCTTTATTGTTATTGCCTTGATTTGTAGAGTTTTTGATGAGATGGTGCTCGTTTCCATTGGAGGCTGTAGAAGATGCTGGAGGTTCACTGGAGTCCACAGAGACAGACGGGCTCTTGTGTGCCTTCTCATTAGGGAGCGGGCTGGGTATACGTTCATCTCCTTTGACCGACACTGACAGCACAGTTTCACTTTTCCTTTGCCGACCCGGGAGCAGATACTCAGCTTCTGCTACACTGACTTTCCACGCAGTCAGCAAACTTTTGGGTATCTGCAGAGAAGTAATATAGTTATTGAAATATTGTTCAAAACAAACAAACAAACAAAAGATTTTCAAAGATTCACTTCACAAATTATACCGTATACTTGTAGTCTTTCTCCTTCTGCTTCCCTCGCCGCCTGAGAACAGGAAGGTCTTCAAACTGATGGCCTCCTTCAAAAGGTAGAATAACGTTCCCTGGGACCCAGGAAGACTCTACAATCTCGCCAATCGTCTCCAAGAAATACATCCGGCAAGGACGAGGACTGGGAACTGGATCAAAATGTTTTTTGAAAAGAAGAAAGAGCAGTGTGAACTTTGACACACACTACAATGCCGTCAACAAACTATCAACAAAACAGTCAAGTTGTGTGAAACGGATTTGTGTAAAATAATCAGTATTCACATCAAATCTCACCTTTCATCTTAGTGTGAATCCCCTGATCCAGGTCGCTTGTGATCTGACAGGGCCACCAGGGCCGTCTGTTGAATTTTGCCCACACCAAATCCCCTTCCAAGTATTTCACTGCAGGAAGAGGCCTTTTCTTTGGGCTGTTGGACTAATCATTACAAGAAAAACACAATAATAAGGGATACAGAAAAAAAAATAATGCTGCATGTATCAAATCAAAATTCTTGTCATGTATAATGACAAGAATAGATGATATCCGCTTTTGAAATCTAATGGTGATGACAAAACATCACACTGATTGCTTTGCTGGCCTCAGATTTGAACTGTTTTCTACTCTTTTGGGTCAAATTTTAAAGCTTGGAAGATGGCGTACGTTAAGCTATGCTTGATTATAACATAGCCACATAAACTTGTGTGGATTTGGTTGTACAGAAGTTGCAAAGTTTGTATCTCAAGAGTTTTATACTCACATTAGAGTTGGTGCCACCTGGTGAGATAAGTCCTGGGTCAACAGGGGAGAGAAGTTCACCATCACTGTCAGATTCCTCACCCAAACTCCACCCATCTCTCATGGAGATGTCTGGCAGCGCGCTGGGGCTTAGTGTAGGGTTGAGCTCAGATATAGTTTTGGACATTAGATTAAAGACTGTAGGTTTGTATGTTCTTTTATCCACCCCTGAGTCGCATGTGGTCTTACACTCTGTAACAGTTCGATCCTGACTCGGCTGTGGGGAGTGGCCAAAAGGCGCGAGTTCCTCGCCGCTGTCCCCCTCCTCATCGTCCCCCTTTACATCGCTGCTGTCGAATAGTGTGGACTCAAAATGCAGGCATCCGTTTGGAATGGGGGAACAGCGCTCGAAGCTGTCAGGACTGTGTAGGAAGAAACCATTTCTGCTCATGTCCGGCAGAGTCCCAACAGGCTCCATGTCACTGTTGCCGGGAGAAGGAGGCAACTGGACAGTTGGCGCCTCAAACTCATCATCGTCGTCGTCGCTAATTGGGCTTGCACAGAGCAAGTTGTTCCGAGGATGAAGGTCCCTTTCTGGGTCAGGTTTGTTGATCGCAGTGTTCAGGTCGTAGGGCCTCCTCAAAGAACTGTAGCTTTTAGATCGGTTAGTCTGATTGTACCCTAGTAAAGCGGGTTGTTTGAGGCTGGAGGATGGCAGCTGCACAGTTGATGACTGGTCTGATCCTCGCTTCACAATGCCACATTGGTTTCCATAGGAAGTGCTCACAGGGCCATTGTGGGGCCTCAGCTCTGGCGGGCCTGAGCCAAACACTGAGCCTACCCTAAGACCCGGTCTGTATGACTGCTTCATGTTGTCATGCCTACATCCTGTCAAATGAAACACAGGCAGGGTTAGACAAGGTAAACGTGCCATAAAGGTTCTCTCTAAATACACTCCTGTGTGCTTATAGAGATGTGTAAACAAAGTGGCTTGTACAGTGATAAATATCAGAAGCATATCCATGAAGGTCCAGCCATGGCCAGTGCGCGCGTACACACACATACACAGGCACCCACACACACACACACGCCGATAAGCCGACATTGCATGGCCTCCATTCTAGAGGCCAGTCGTACGGCACAAGACAAAACACAGAAAACAACCGTGCTCACACACTTCATTCACAAACTATTAGAAAATAACAGCGCTTTGTCTGCTAAATGTGGGTCACCCCGGCGATCGCTGACTTGTACAGTCAATGGAGGAGCGCTGAAGCTGTAGTAGAGGAGGTGACACTGAGCCATCACAGAAACAGTCAGTGGCTCACACAAACAAGCTACAGCCGCACACCGACATAGGAAGCTACTATTAACTCACGAAAAAAAAGGTCTGATCGGCACTACAAGTTCACCGCACTATCAACACGTGGAAAAAAAAAGGCAAAAAACTCACCGTTTGGAGGTCGGTCATCGCGAAGCCAGCAGCTGCTCTTTGATAATGTGGCACCAGGCGAGTGTTTCTCTCGGTTTGTGAAAGCAGATCTCCACAATCCCAGCTGCAGCAGCACTAGTAGTAGGCCAAGGCACGGCTCTCATTCTCGCTTCATCAGCGTCGGCCCTCTTAAAAAAATGTCACCTTAAATAAAAAATAACAGCCGACTGCTCCATTACGCCGCAACGTCTTCAGTGAGCCACAACCGGTCCTGTAACAGCCACAGCAGTTTATTTACTACATGGTTATTATTATTATTTTTGCCTGCTTGTCGATGTGCCCCTGGTTATGTTAAAACAAGCCCAGGCTGTGTGTTGGTGAGCAGTAACCAATCCGCAATGCTACCCAACCCCCCGTCTGTAGAGGGCCGTGACACTCACCCTCCGCGTGCACGCGTGCACACACTGGCGAGCACGGACGCACGACAAACACGCACGCTCACACGCGTGCACACCCAGGTGAAGTTTGCAGTAGTTATTGGTATGTAGTAATCATAAATGAAGGCAACGGATTTCTAAGTAGTTTGTCCCGTTTCTGCTCTAACCCCCCTCCACCTTCAGTCCTATTGTTTAACTTTCCTAGTTGATGCAGGCCTGTGTGCGGATGTGTGTGCCTGTGTGTGTAGGAGGAGAAAGATCGACCATATAGGAAAGAAGAAAAAAAGGACTGCACACCGATAATAACCACACGGCCTTTACGGTCAAATCACACTCTCCGCGCGCCATGTTGGCTCTCCACGGAGCGCTCTGACATGAGGAAACAGGCCGCCAGGCGCTCAGGAAAGCACGATCGAGAGTTGAGGCATTGAGCATATGAACGGGTTTCTTTCTTTCTTTTGGTTTCCTGTGATTAAAAAAATCTGTCGGCGTCCGTTTTCAGCCCGCCGGCACGTAACTTTGATGGTTTGTTGCGTGTCTTGTTGCTCTTAACTGAAGCAGATCCACAAACGCGCAAACTCAAACAGAGAAGCACAAAAGGCTCGCTGCAGTGGGCCAGTCCTCAGATCAAAGAGCGTGCAGTTACATGCCGACTTGTCAGCAGAGCAGCTACCCTCTGCCGGCTTTTAAAATGTTTAATATCATACACTGTGGTTTGTTTATGTCTCCAAAGGCGATGCACTTCTATATTTTGGTGAATGATCATGTACAGAACACAAAGATTAAAGACGCAGCTCACATCATGGCGGCTTCACCCCAAAAAAACATGACCTATAGTTTTTTTTAACCTCTTCTTCTGTCACGTACCTGGTAAGAACACGCCCAAAAAGTAAGCTCATAAACGTCGGTACGCCTTAAATTAGTCTAACAAGGTGTAAATAAAGGTATTATGATAAAGTGACTGTCATGTCACAAGACTCAAGCCCCCTTGTGTCCAGAGCAAGAATTACAAGTGACAGGAAACTCTGAAAAAGACGATTTCTTTCTTTTATTTTGGTTTCACATACAGGAAATCATTATTATTATTATTACATATGCCACAAAGCATTAGTCGTTCCCCCCTCTACTGATCAGTCTAACATACATGCACAAGTGGGTGTGCTTATCGAGTGACTGTGGATATGGAAATAGGCTGTTACAATACATGATGCAAACTATATTTACAAAGTGCAGAAACAAAGGGGGTATTATGCTTTAAGCTTTACCAGTTTGAGTCAATAAAAATGTACCGCAGGGCTCCTGCTTTCCTGAATTGTATCACAAAATAAACCACATAATAGACAAGCGGACAAAACACAAAGGACGACTACATGGTTACATATTTATGCTCGGGAAAGATTTGGTTTCATGAATTTTTTTGTTCTAAAATGTATATGCATGTAGAAAATGTCACACAAACAAACATATTCATGTCTTAGAACAGAGTAAGAGAACATGTCACAATTCAGAGGAATACATCAGGGTTACTGAGGTCTGAACCACTAACTATACTGACTGGTGTTATTTCATGTGCATGCACCTCTGCCACACTGGAGCAACATATTTGTGATTCGGCTGTTTATTAGGAGAGGATGATGAGAATGCCAATCACTGTACAATGAAAACTTAGAACCACTGTAAATGATAAAACAAACAACTTTTTCTCCCAGCATACATGAAATGCCACAATTCCTTCTAGTCCTCTTCTTCATGCAACCAAATGTTTTTCAAACACCGGAGAAGCAGCTGCAGAATTTATCTCTGTGGTTTCATCCACTTTATTGCTACCGTGCTCACAAAGTTCTCTTTTCTCCATCATGGTGTATGGAAAAGATGAAACATCACAGCTAGTGAAGTCCAGCTTCTTGGGAGCACTGCAGTTGCTAAAGTCCAGCTTGCTGGTGCCGTCACATCCGAATTCTAGCTTCTTGAGGCGAGTGAGGCTCTTGATGCTGCCAGGCGGTCTCCCAGGGCTCACCTTATATCCTGCAGCTTTGGTGGTTCCAAGAGGCCTACCTGGGCTTGTCTTGAAACCGGCTGCTCTAGTTGTCCCAAGTGGACGCCCAGTACTTGTACGGTACCCAGCTAACTTTGTGGTCCCCGATGGCCTCCCTCTCCGCCCTGACTTTGCTGTGCCCTTCTTTTTCTTAGAGCCCTCAGGCCCTAGAGCTTCACCGGCTCTGATTCTCACCGCCTGTGGCTGGAAGTCATTCTGGGTGTCTTGTAACTGGCACGCCATGGCTTTGTGCATGCCCTGTGGCAAAGGGGCAAGGCCGGCGAGGGACAGCTGCAAACCAGGGTTTGTCGGAGAGGGGTAGAATTTGTTGGACTGTGTACTACATAAATCAAAGTGGCTGCCTGGATGACAGTCCTCTGTTAGTGCACTCATGCAATAGTCACTGCTGCTGGTGGTCACTTGGTGCATCATTTTCTGTTGGGGTACATAGAAATACATGAGCTAGAAAAGCCACGTGTTTTACTGACAATCCAGTTCTTAGTAGCTGACTTCTAGTGGCTCAAACAGGCCTTTTTAGCACTGCAACACAAAACAAACAAAGATAAGTGATGTCCGAAATAAACACGTTCAAACAGAGTCATAGTTTGCAAAAATGCACGGCATGCATAACAATAAATTTAAATGATTACTGGATTACTAGATCGCCGAACTACTCAAAGAGCGAAAGATGAACAGTTCGTACCTCATTTGTTGGTGGACGTTGGAGTGGAAAGGGTTAATTTCGACTCATCTACACTTCCTCTCCCTGACGGCCACAACATCTTTGTGAAGGCGCTGCACAAACTACGCCCTGGCGTCTGCGAGTGTTGTCTCAAAGCGGGTCTGCTGCATATTTCAACGCTCAGTTAATCCTCTACGCAGAGGTTTGGATGAGAGTGGCAGCCATTTTCACCCAGAAAAAAAAAGAAAAGGAAAAAAAAAATTAAACCAGCAGACAACAACTGCGCATGCGCGATAAAAGCGGTCAAGAAACGTAGGGACTGATCGGTGTGACGTAATGGGTTTCTGTAGAATCGGAAAAGTATCAAAAATGTATCTAGTAGTGAAGCATGGAACTGTGGTAGCCATGGAACCAAAATTGTATCAACAGCACAGCGGTAACTATGTAACTGGCACACTGTATTGAACCAACTGTACATTTATTAAAATGTAGTAATGACAATGTATCAACTAATCTGGCCACGAGATCACTGGTCAGTATAATGGAAGCTGTGTATATGTGCTTTACAAAGACAACAAACATCAGCGATCGATTTTTTTTCATTTTTATTAACAGTTTAAGCACAAACACTGGATTTATAGGGCAACAACAGTGCTGGAACAGGTCAAAATCTACAATTTTCAAAGTTTCCCCTCGCCAATGGTCATCTTTGCAAAATTAAGTCCACAGGACTAAGTTTCCCTGATGAGCTTGGTCAGCTTCTGGATCTTTGTTTTGGTGGACATGTCCACATACTTGTCTCCAATGCTGACGATCATGCCCCCCAGGATGGAAGGATCCGACTGTGAAGAGACAGGTCGATTGTTAGCAAACACATATGAACACGAGACTTCCCCTTATATTAACATAAGACAATGATTTCTTGTTTCACAAGTTTCCATTTTTTTTTCAAAATTTTTTTTTTGGGGGGGGGGGGATTAAAATAGTGGATTGAGCCACGTTTAAAATCTCTTTGATATACAATTAAAGGCTTTTGTAGAGGACACAATGGACGTCAGTTTTTAATCTATAAACATTTTAACTTGTCAACAGCCAGAAAAAATAAATATAATGTTCTATAATTTAGGCACGGAAAGATATGAACATAATTATTAGCAATTACCTTGAAAACAGATTAAAAAAAATATTGATAAAGCTTTATTTCTATGTAAATGATTGGTCAGAGCCTTGCGGGGAAAAAAAGATGTAAGATGTTTTTCCATTTCCTGGAATTCACTATTTAAATGTTCATCTTACAGCCAATCACAATACAAACTCCTCTAGTTGATTATGTACATTTTTAAATTCGTATTTTTTAATGCAAGTTTCCAGAAAATATTTGCTTCACTATGTAAATTATCCAAATTGTTAGATTTGCACTCATTTTCATGAGTGTGAAACAGACAGTGTAGTAAACACCAAAATGTGCGCTTAAATATTATCTCACCAGTCTGAGATAAGACATGTTATGCAAGCAAATTAACTCCATATCTTAGAATTGACTAGTGCACAAAAAGAGTTTTCCCCTGAAGACAAAATTCACCAGCAAGATGGTTATGTGCAGATTTCTGGGACTGTGCATTAGAGTTGTACCTTTGTTTCCAGCTTGATAGTCTCACCCTTCTGAAGAAAGCCTTTAAGAGCTACTTTCAGCTCGGAGAGATTAGCTTCATCCAAAGGCTGCAATGGATAAACATTCATTATGAAGGTACAATATGTCTAAATCAATAATACTGCAATTGATAAAATAAATGATATATACAGCAGCAAATATTGCTTAAGTGATGTGACCTGTTTTCAGTATCTGAAAAAAAATTATGTAGGAACATATCTTGCATATACACCCATTTCATACCTGCGCAGTAGTGACGGAGCAGATCACCTCTCCACGGTGTGCACTCATCATCTTGCTGAAAGCGTTAATAACATCCCCAGTTAAAGTAAGACGGCCATTGTCAGCCAAAACATCTAAAGAGGGAGAAAAAAAGACAATACATGTTTGAGCAAGATTCTCCACTTTTCTATCTGCTCAGAGCAAAGTGTAGCTTTTGTATTACATCAGTTTAAAGTAAACAGTGTGTGATTTTGCCTAAGTTACTAAGTTCTTCCTAGTAACACTTATTTACCCTTAATCAAATCAAAGTTTACAACTATAGCACATTAACACAACTCAGGCTACGTCCACACTAGCCCGGATAGAGTTGAAAACGGCGTTTTCGGCTAAAAACGCTCCG